AACCTTGTCACCTTCCTGCTCTCCTGAACATTTCCCCCTCCTATAAGTGCTCAGGTGGTCAGTACAGAATCCCCATGATTTTCCTGACTCCTTGCTTTGCCTCAATCCATCCTGGACACACAGACACATGTGTGTGCAGGTGCATCATGGTGCATGTGCATTTGCTCACACACAGGCTCATCAAGGTCATTCCTACCCCCTGAGGATCTCTTGCATCCATGCCCCCCATCCCCTCTCACTCTCATTCCTATTTGTTTGTTTTTCAGAGACAGGGTCTCGCTCTGTCACCCAGGCTGGAATGCAGTGGCACCATCATGGCTCACTGCAGCCCGGATCTCCTAGGTTCAGCTCCCAGGAACCTCAGCTCCCCGACCACCTGCCCCACCAGTAGCTGGGACTATAGGTGGCATCATGTATAGATAATTTTAAAATTTTTTGTAGGGATGATGTCTCACTATATTTTCCAGACTGGTCTTGAACGGCTGGGCTCAAGCAATCCTCTCACCTCAGCCTCCCTAAGTGCAGATTACAGGCATGAGCTACTGCGCTCAGCCACACTCTCATTCTCTACACTCACTCATCTACCCTCTCTCCTCTGGACCACTGGACTTTATCCTTTACACCTTTCTTCTCTGGACCCCTGCTGTGGCCACCATGCTTGTCCCTCCTACCTCCTCTCTGCAAACCACTCCCCACCAACACAAGCTCCTTCCTCCTCTTACCAAAATTCTCTTTTGACAACCCAGTTCAGAATATCAAGATGCCAAATCCTAACTTAAACAAAACTGTTCGTCTACTCATGCACGTGTGTATTGATTCTATGCTGTGTGACTCCCCAGCAGCAGTGTGGCCCAGGGATTCAGAATACAGGTGCTGGAGCTGATCGCCTGGGCCTGGAGTCCTACGCTGCTGCTTCCAACTATGTGACCCAGCCTTTGAGTGTTTCCTCATCTGTAAATGGGAATCAGCATTTTACCTATAGCACAGCGGTGTTGTGAGGATTAAACAAAGCAAGCCCTTGTAACAGAGCCTGACGCATAATTAGCACCCATTACACAGCAGCTATGATGGGGGGAGAGATAATAAGAATACAGTAATGTTATCGATCACGTTTATCATTATTCTATTGTTATACAATAACGTTTAACTCTGGGCTGTAGGATATTTATTTTCAATTTTTTTTTCTATATTTTTCCAATTCTCTGTAATAACCATGAAATCCTTTTACAACCATTAAACTGATCTTTTCTTTGGAAATTGCATGATGTTACATCCTTGCTTAAACATGTTCAATAACCTCCCAGTGACTACAAGATAGGAACCAAAGCCCTGGGCCCAGCCTAGGGAGCCCTGCATCTGCTGGCCTCTGGCGACTCTTCCCACTGCCCCAGTTGCATTCCAGGCTCCACCTTCTCCAGGCCTCTTGGCTTCCAGATGCTGAGTCCTGCATCATCTTCTCTTTTCATTGTGTCCTTACTTCCCAGGGATTCTCAGCTCTTCTGACTTCACTATGGCCCAACGAGACCTCTGTTCACACTAGGAACTCCTGGACTCAAACATTCCTCCATGGTTCAGATCCCAGCTTTTCTTGGGGGAGGTGTTTCTCCCATGGGGACTCTGGAGCAACATGCGTTGCTCACCAAGACCAAGAGCTCCCTAAGTCTGCAGGCAGGGTCACAGTCCCGTGGGCATCTCTAAACACCTGTAGCATCCTCAGAGGTTTGAATAGAGGTAGAGGATGGAGAGGCAAAGAAGGCAGGGGTGCTATTGCATGCAGGGTTCTAAAAACAAGACTCAGCAAGAGGGAATGTTACAAGATTTTTTTGAGGACAACAAGATAAAAGCAACATTTTAGGAACAGATATGGGCAATAATATTATGCAAAATGAATAACGTGCAGAGGTCAAAAAGTCAGTAAAGGCCAGGCATGGTGGCTCATGCCTGTAATCCCAGTCCCGTAGGAGGCCAAGGTGAGCAGATCACAAGGTTAAGAGATCAAGAGTATCCTGGCCAACATGGCGAAACCCCATCTCTACTGAAGACACAAAAATAAGCTGAGCGTGGTGGCACATGCCTGTAGCCCCAGCTACTCAGGAGGCTGAGGCAGGAGAATCACTTGAACCCAGGAGGTGGAGGTTTCAGTGAGCCAAGATCACACCAATGCACTCTGGCCTGGTGACAGAGCGAGACTCCATCTTAAAACAAAAACAGAAAGTCAGTAAAGAGGCAGTTGGCTGTAGTTGAATCAATAGGGGCGAGGTCTTGTTCTCAGGTGGACTGGCCGCTGAAGACAGCACCAAGAGCTCCCAGGGCTCCTGTTCCTGGCCACATACCCATTGCTGCCTTGCTAAGCACACTTCCCCATACACCCCCAATGACTCCCACCAGCCTGTTTGACCAATACTCATGTCATAGCCACCTAACGTGAGGCACAGTCACACAGCTAACTGTGAAGCAATAGAGACGTGATTCAAACCTGATACAACTGACCCCAAAACGAGGGCTGCTAACTAAACCTCCTCCACTGCGGCTGCTGCTGCATCTGAACAGCCAGCAGATCTCTCGGCCTTCAGAACAGAAATGCTGAGGTTAAAAAATGAATTGTAAGCTGTGTTCAGGCCTGGAATAGTCTTGCAGTTGTATTTTAAGACTTTTTTTTTTAACTACTGGAAAAACTTGGGTGAGAGATAAATAAAATATTAAAGGAGGCAAAGAAGACATTCAAGTGTCTTCTAGGAAGTTCTGAAGGTTATGAATAGAATGAACTTGGACTGATTTGACACTGAACTGCGGAGTGTGGGAGTTTCTGGATAAATGAAAAACGCTCTGTTACCTAACAAGCTGCAGTGCTTTTGAACTTCATTACCTGCAGGTATGATACAGGCTGAAAATGTAAAGTGCGTGCAAAAGACCCAGATATACTGATAGATGATTAATTTGCAACTGATTTTTTAAAAAATAAACTATATATGGGAGAGATTTCCTTATGTTTTTGAAGTGATGCCCAGGAGAGCCAGCCTATGAATTCAGACTGTCCTTGCTAAGATGGTCTAACGTTACAAAAATGATAATAGCCACAAGGTGCCAGCACTCTGCTGACACCCTCTTACTCAGTTCTCACAAAAATCCTTTGAGGAAAGCATTATCATCTCCACTCTTCAGATAAGGAAAGTGAGGCATGGAGGGCTTATATAACTTTCTCAGGGCTGCACAGCTAAGAAACAGACAAAGCTGAGATTCCAGCCGGAGTCAGTGGACCCCAAAGCCCAGGCTCTTCCCATTATAGACACTGCCTCTAGGGTGGGCCGACCGCTGGACTCACACAGACCATGCCTTCTAATACTTTTGTGCTCTGGAATCTTCTGTAACAACAAGAAACAGGCCTCATCCCACTGAAGTGACAGGGCTACCTTTCTCCACTGAAAGGACGCCAGGCTTCTTAGTCATGGCCCGACTTCCCTCTGTCTCCAGCTCTTGAAATCGGCAGAGGGGAGGGTGACCACACTAGGTGGGCTGACCCCATAATAGAAGCCTTAACACATTGCACATTTCTGCCCACACACCCAGCGCCTCCTCCTAGCAGCTCACATCAGCACCACCCCCAGCAATCTGGATAGTCCTCCTGCCATTTGACAGAACATTCTTCGTTGTTCAGTCTCTGGGGTTCCCATAAAGCCAGAGTTTACACTTTGGAGTGTTCCTTTGTCGTGTGGCAAATCTGGACTGGGGTTCAGAAGGAGCATGGGAGGTGCCTAATCAGAAGCAATCCAGAGGCCATAGAGTCAGGAGGAGGAAGGGGGGTAAGAGCAAAACATGGGAGACGCGTGGAGAGTTCCAAGTACCACGCAGGAAAAAAAAAATTTAAACATTTTGAAAACTAGGCACAGCCTTGGTAGCATCAGCGGTAGATGGAGCACAGACGAGGGGTCTGAAGCTCTCCGAGGTGCTCTGGAGTGAGCCAGGCGTGGCGGGAACTGCGGCAGGTGAAAGCACTGGGAATCCCTGCTTCACCGCTTCTCAGCTGTGGAATTCCAGGGGGGTTGCTTAACCTCTGGGAACCTCAGTTTCCTCTTCTGTATAATGAGAATAATAATATCCTACAAAGTGAAATAGTTCCAGCAACTGCTGGCTAGGTTGGAATGGGGTCCAGCTGTTGGATGTCCAAGCCCCAGGCAAATAACTTTCGTGGGAGCCCATCTGTATGAACAGTTTGGGTTTCTCTAAAGCAGGGCAGGACCGTTCTGGCAGCTCAAGCCACTTGCCAGGCTGACCTCCTGGAGGAGGTGTCCAGACACAGGGCCATGGGTGATCACGTGGGTGTGAAGTCCTAAGAGCATCCAGAGACCCCATGCTCAGGTATTGGCTGGTGCAAAAGTAATTGCAACTTTTGCCATTGAAGGTAATAACAAGAACCGTGATTACTTTTTCAGCAATTTAATAGAAATTCAGAGAGCGCTCTGAGTGGGAGAAATGAAAGTATCAGTCAGGACTCAGAACACCTTGGTGTGATGGCATTGCCAGCTCTGGCCAGTCTCAGGCAGCAGGGAGGGATCCAGGAAATTCCAGGAAGTTTCTCCAATGTGAGGAGCCCTGAGAGGCACAGGGAACCAGCTTGCTCAGGTCAAAGGACAATGCTAGCTGAGATGTTCTTATGGGAACATAACTGTCACTCACATAAATGAAAACAATCATCAGATAGGGTCCCTCCATGACCTTGTAGGAATAACCCAGCAAGCAGAACACCATGAAACAGAGAGATGGGCACTCTGCAACCGCAAACATAAACTCCCCCCTCTTCTGACTAACCTGACTACTGCTTCTCTCTTCACAGCAGTCCTAGCCCACTTTAATCTTCCACCCTCCTGGACAAATGATCAAGACATTCCCAATCGTCAAATCCTTGCTCTTGGATTGCACTCAGTCTAAAACTGTCCACTCATTCCTTAACCCCTCTTCAGACTCTCCCAGCCCAAGCCCATAAGCCCCTCCCACGCCCTCCCGCAAGTGTGTGCCCTCACTTACTGCAGCAAGCTGAATTAATCTACCCTGGCGTGACTAGAAGTGTGTTCTTGGTGGTCTTTGGCTGGAGGGCTTCCTCATAAAAGAACCTATGTCCAGGGCTCTTTGTTGTTGTTACATAAATTAACCCATTTATTATAGGCCAATGATGTCTTAAAGAGTAGAGGGGCCTCTACTGGTCTTTCGGTTCCTTTAGTCTTCTAATGGTGGACTTGATCATGACTGCTGAGGTGGGATTCTATGTCCAGCCTCCACCAGCTACTGTCTTCATGCAGGAACCACAGTGCCAGATCCCCACTGCTCGTCTCTTCATCTTGGTTTTGCCACAGAAGGAGCAAGTGTGTTTGGCATGCTGGCTGATTTCAGTTTTCTTCACCATTTTCCACAGGGAGGCCCCATAGTGGGTCCCGTATTTACTGACGATCCCGACTTTCTTAGTACCTTTGGCCATGTCGCCGCGAACTAGATCCGAGCCCAGAGAACTTCCAGGGCTCTTTTAAGGATTGTGCACACTTCCTGGCGTGGAGAGGGCTGTCATTATTTGGGGGCATTTCACAGTCCTTCTGATCCATTCATTCACCAGGCGTCTAGCCTGGCTCCTCGGTCCTGAAAGCCCTGTGGCTTGTGGACTAGTAATCTCAGCATCACCTGGGGCTTGTTAGACATGCAGACCCTTGCGCCCCACCCTGGACTGACTGGCGCGTTTTTAACAAGATCCCCGGGGGATTTAAGTTGCAGTTAAGTTAAAGAAGCACTGCGCTAGCTTAAGAGATCCGTTCTTGCACCACATGCTCGGACCGGCGGAGAGGGGGGCATGATGAGGGAAGGTTCCTGTGGCTGCCATTCAAACACACATTAGGTTCCAGGCGATTTTCCAGCCATGGGTGTGGGCACGCCAGGCGTGCAGGAGCACGACCAGGTCTGGGGATTCAACTTGCTTATCCATTCATGAGCAACTCCAGTAGCAAGAATATGCCTGTTGCACTAGCAATTTTGTATTTGTATCGTCTTAGTTTCTCACCCTAATCCTGCGGGCGCAGTGAGCAGGGAAACTCTTATCGTTTCCACTTTATGGAAGGGAAATCTGAGCCTTTGAGATACACAGGTTTTGCTTAGTGTCACTTGCTGGTCAAATGATGGCGACAAGCAGGTCCACCACAACATTTAAGGGACATGAAAAAACTCAGAAACTGATATAAATAATATTTTAATGAAATATTTTTTGAAATAAAAATTAATGCAAAAGAGCTATAATTAGAAACAGATCAAAAGTTAATAAAGACAAGATTCCAAGGCAGCTGGGATTAGGTTGAAAATGTTGATATTTTTGTTCAATGTGGATGTTTTCAACATTAATTTTATTGTTTTTTAAATGCCGTTTCTTTTGCTTTCTGAGTCTCTTGGCACTCCCTTAAATGTTGCCTCATTCCTTTCTGCTACAGCCTCAGAGGGTGTTCAGCAAATACCCAGAGTTGTGTGTGATTTGTGGAGTTAGACTGCCCGGATTCAGATCCATGCTTGCCATTTCCTAGCTGTGTTCATTTGGGCAAGTCAATTCAGTTTTACTGCTTTAGTTTCTTCTCTGTGAAATAGAGAGGGCTGAAGTTCAATTCGGTAAAGATAAAGAAGGACCAAGATGATGTAGTCCAATTACAGAGCTCTGAAGTTCTAGTTGAATCCAAATTTAAAATATCTACAAGATTGACAGCATTTACTTGAGTAATCCTCTATAAATATAAATTTTAATTATATAAATGTGCACATGTAATCATATCATACATACTGTTGTTTTTAGCTCAGTCTTTTAGCTCAATGCCCCTTTCTTCCTCTTTTCCTTCCCTCCCCTCCACGTGTAGCCGATGCTAACATGCCTGATAGGTGTCTTCCATATTTTCCTTTGTATTTCTATAATGAGGTACAGACCACAGCACACACACGCACGTACATATGCACACATTTTGATACGGAGGTTGCGATCACTGTTTCACAAAATAGATTATATCATAAATGCTTTTCTGCGCTCACTTATGAACCATATCATATAGAAATCCCTCCAAGCCAACTGGTGTAGCTCTATTCTTTTCCTCTTCATTGGCAGTATGCTAGTCTAGGGGTGCACTACCATGATTCATTTTCCCATTGTGTGCTAATGAGGATCATTTTCTGCCACTTTTTTGCCACCCTGAATAATGAGATATTTAAACATACCGATGCATATATTCCAATATTGTAGATTAGTTTTCCCTGTTCCGGAATTCGATATAAATGGAATCATAGAGTCTGGAATCTTTTATATGTGGATTATTATGTCAGCATGTTTTTGAGATTGAACCACGCTGTTGAGTGTAGCATAGTTCTTTCCTTTTGATTGCTGAGTGGCCTGCTGTATGCATATATCACAGTTTGCTTATTCTTCTGAGTAGGTATATTTCAAATTTTGATAGATACTGCTACGTTACTTTCCCAAAATGCTGTACAATTTACATTTCAACTTTGTAATATATGTTTTAGTTGTCTTTAATTTTGGCAGGCCTGATAGGCATGATATGATGTCTCATTAGTGCTTTAATTTGCATTTCCCTAACGACGGTACATTCAAGCATCTTTTTGTACATTTGTTGACTCTCTGCTTTTGGGCTTCTATAAATTGCCTTTTCTTATCCCTTCATCATTTTTCTGTTGAGTTGCCAAATTATAAAATCTGTTTCTATATAAGTACATTCTTTTTTTTTTTATTGCATTTTAGGTTTTGGGGTACATGTGCAGAACGTGCAAGACAGTTGCATAGGTACACACATGGCAGTGTGTTTTGCTTCCTTTCTCCCCTTCACCCACATTTGTCATTTTTCCCCAGGCTATCCCTCCCCATCTCCCTCCCCCCGCTGGCCCTCCCCTTTTCCCCCCCCCGATAGACCCCAGTGTTTAGTACTCCCCTCCCTGTGTCCATGTGTTCTCATTTTTCATCACCCTCCTATGAGTGAGAATATGCGGTATTTCATTTTCTGTTCTTGTGTCAGTTTGCTGAGAATGATGTTCTCCAGATTCATCCATGTCCCTACAAACAACACGAACTCATCATTTCTGATTGCTGCATAATATTCCATGGTGTATATGTGCCACATTTTCCCAATCCAGTCTATCATCGATGGGCATTTGGGTTGGTTCCAGGTCTTTGCTATTGTAAACAGTGCTGCAATGAACATTCATGTGCATGTGTTCTTATAGTAGAACGATTTATAGTCCTTTTGATATATACCCAGTAATGGGATTGCTGGGTCAAATGGAATTTCTATTTCTAAGGCCTTGAGGAATTGCCACACTGTCTTCCACAATGGTTGAACTAATTTACACTCCCACCAACAGTGTAAAAGTGTTCCTTTTTCTCCACATTCTCTCCAGCATCTGTTGTCTCCAGATTTTTTAATGATTGCCATTCTAACTGGCGTGAGATGGTATCTCAATGTGGTTTTGATTTGCATCTCTCTAATGACCAGTGATGATGAGCATTTTTTCATATGATTGTTGGCCTCATATATGTCTTCTTTTGTAAAGTGTCTGTTCATATCCTTTGCCCATTTTTGAATGAGCTTGTTTGTTTCTTTCCTGTAAATCTGTTTGAGTTCTTTGTAAATTCTGGATATCAGCCCTTTGTCAGATGGGTAAACTGCAAAAATTTTTTCCCATTCTGTTGGTTGCCGATTCACTGTAGTGACTGTTTCTTTTGCCGTGCAGAAGCTGTGGAGTTTGATTAGGTCCCATTTGTCTATTTTGGCTTTTGTTGCCAATGCTTTTGGTGTTTTGTTCATGAAGTCCTTGCCTACTCCTATGTCCTGGATGGTTTTGCCTAGATTTCCTTCTAGGGTTTTTATTGTGCCAGGTCTTATGTTTAAGTCTTTAATCCATCTGGAGTTAATTTTAGTGTAAGGTGTCAGGAAGGGGTCCAGTTTCTGCTTTCTGCACATGGCTAGCCAGTTTTCCCAACACCATTTATTAAACAGGGAATCCTTCCCCTATTGCTTGTTTTTGCTAGGTTTATCAAAGATTGTATGGTTGTAGATATGTTGTGTTGCCTCCAATGCCTCTGTTCTGTTTCATTGGTCTATATCTCTGTTTTGGTACCAGTACCATGCTGTTTTGATTACTGTAGCCTTGTAGTATAGTTTGAAATCTCATAGTGTGATGCCCCCCGCTGTGTTCTTTTTGCTTAGAATTGACTTGGCTATGCGGGCTCTCTTTTGGTTCCATATGAAGTTCATGGTGGTTTTTTCCAGTTCTGTGAAGTAAGTCAATGGTAGCTTGATGGGGATAGCGTTGATTCTGTAAATTACTTTGGGCAGTATAGCCATTTTCACGATATTAATTCTTCCTAACCATGAACATGGAATGTTTCTCCATCTGTTTGTGTCCTCTCTGATTTCGTTGAGCAGTGTTTTGTAGTTTTCCTTGAAGAGATCCCTTATGTTCCTTGTGAGATGTATTCCTAGGTATTTTATTCTTTTTGTAGCAATTGTGAATGGCAGTTTGTTCTTGATTTGGCTCTCTTTAAGTCTGTTATTGGTGTAGAGGAATGCTTGTGATTTTTCCACATTGATTTTATATCCTGAGACTTTGCTGAAGTTGCTTATCAGTTTCAGGAGTTTTTGGGCTGAGGCAACGGGGTCTTCTAGGTATACTATCATGTCGTCTGCAAATAGAGACAATTTGGCTTCTACCTTTCCTATTTGAATACCCTTTATTTCTTTTTCTTGCCTGATTGCTCTGGCTAGAACTTCCAGTACTATATTGAATAGGAGTGGTGAAAGAAGGCATCCTTGTCTAGTGCTGGATTTCAAAGGGAATGCTTCCAGTTTTTGCCCATTCAGTATGATATTGGCTGTTAGTTTGTCGTAAATAGCTTTTGTTACTTTGAGATACGTTCCATCGATACCGAGTTTATTGAGGGTTTTTAGCATAAAGGGCTGTTGAATTTTGTTGAATGCCTTCTCTGCATCAATTGAGATGATCATGTGGTTTTTGTTTTCGGTTCTGTTTATGTGGTGAATTACGTTTATAGACTTGCATATGTTGAACCAGCCTTGCATACTCGGGATGAATCCTACTTGATCATGATGGATAAGTTTTTTGATTTGCTGTTGCAATCGGCTTGCCAATATTTTATTGAAGATTTTTGCATCTATGTTCATCATGGATATTGGCCTGAAGTTTTCTTTTCTTGTTGGGTCTCTGCCGGGTTTTGGTATCAGGATGATGTTGGTCTCAAAAAATGATTTGGGAAGGATTCCCTCTTTTTGGATTATTTGGAATAGTTTCAGAAGGAATGGTACCAGCTCCTCTTTGTGTCTGGTAGAATTCGGCTGTGAACCCTTCTGGACCTGGGCTTTTTTTGTGTGGTAGGCTCTTAATTGCTGCCTCGACTTCAGACCTTGTTATTGGTCTATTCATAGTTTCAGCTTCCTCCTGATTTAGGCTTGGGAGGACACAGGAGTCCAGGAATTTATCGATTTCTTCCAGGTTTACTAGTTTATGTGCATAGAGTTGTTTGTAATATTCTCTGATGATGGTTTGAATTTCTGTGGAATCTGTGGTGATTTCCCCTTTATCATTTTTTATTGCATCTATTTGGTTGTTCTCTCTTTTCTTTTTTATCAATCTGGCTAGTGGTTTGTCTATTTTGTTGATCTTTTCAAAAAACCAGCTCTTGGATTTATTGATTTTTTTAAGGGTTTTTCGTGTCTGTATCTCCTTCAGTTCTGCTCTGATCTTAGTTATTTCTTGTCTTCTGCTAGGTTTTGAGTTTTTTTGATCTTGCTCCTCTAGCTCTTTCAATTTTGATGATAGGGTGTCAGTTTTGGATCTCTCCATTCTCCTCATATGGGCACTTATTGCTATATATTTTCCTCTAGAGACTGCTTTAAATGTGTCCCAGAGATTCTGGCATGTTGTGTCTTCGTTCTCATTGGTTTCGAAGAACTTTTCTACTTCTGTCTTCACTTCATTGTTTATCCAGTCAACATTCAAGAGCCAGTTGTTCAGTTTCCATGAAGCTGTGTGGTTCTGAGTTGGTTTCTGAATTCTGAGTTCTAACTTCTGAGAGACTGTTTGTTATGATTTCAGTTGTTTTGCATTTGCTGAGGAGTGATTTACTTCCAATTATGTGGTCAATTTTAGAGTAGGTGTGATGTGGTGCTGAGAAGAATGTATATTCTGTGGATTTGGGGTGGAGAGTTCTGTAAATGTCTATCAGGTTTGCTTGCTCCAGGTCTGAGTTCAAGCCCTGGATATCCTTGTTGATTTTCTGTCTGATTGATGTGTCTAATATTGACAGTGGAGTGTTAAAGTCTCCCACTATTATTGTGTGGGAGTCTAAGTCTCTTTGTAAGTCATTAAGAACTTGCCTTATGTATCTGGGTGCTCCTGTATTGGGTCCATATATGTTTAGGATCATTAGATCTTCTTGTTGTATCATTCCTTTTACCATTATGTAGTGGCCTTCTTTGTCTCTTTTGATCTTTGTTGTTTTAAAGTCTATTTTATCAGAGACGAGAATTGCTACTCCTGGTTTCTTTTGCTCTCCATTTGCTTGGTAAATCTTCCTCCATCCCTTTATTTTGAGCCTTTGTGTATCCTTGC